GTGTGGAGCAACAGGGCAGAGCTGGATGTCAGACAGACGGGCTTCCACAAAGTGGCTTTGATCAGCTACTCAGTCTGCTTATCTATAAAATGAGGACACTGTTCCCACATGAGAATATTATGAGGACTGAATGTGACTTCATATGGGAAGTGCTCGGTAAATACTATTTCCATCCTCTCTTCCCCCAGGAAGCATGTTGCTCCTCCTCGTGCTGTTGGGGACACATTTCTATCCATAGCTCTTGCACTGGGTGAGATGAGATCACCCCTTCCTACTAGGAGAGAGGAGACGCAGCAGGCACCACAATTATCTAACTGGAGTTGGTCTCTCTCTTAGATTGCAGGCCACCTTTGAATGCCAGTTCTGCAAACGGCAGCATCAAAGCCATGTTAATTCCAGGAATCTGGCTCTTCCTTTAAGAGGAGGCTGTGCTATCTGCGGAGGAAAGTGCTGTGCACCTGCTTCCCTCTCAGGTAGCAGTGAGAGCACTGCTTGCCGCTCCCGCTGATAGAGATTAAGCTGGAGTCTCAGCCCCACTACTGCCTGCACCTCCAGGCAGAGTCCACGCCCTCCCCACTCCAGAGGGCAAAACACAGGCAGAGGAAGCTTCTTTAGGTTTAGCACAGCCTGGAGGGTGGCAGGGGTGCCTCCTCGTAGGGGAAGGGAAGAGCCAGGAGAGGGGTTTAGCTCAGGACTCTGGGAAGGAACTGGGTACTCAAGAGACAAAGCCTGGATGGACAGGGACCAGGTCTGAGGTCTGTAAGGTGCTGCCCGGCGTTGCGAAGTAAGGTACAACCATTTCCCTCCCTCCACCTGCACTGCTCCACACAACCCCTCCACGGAGGCTGAGTGTGCACCTGACCCCCAGGAGGCTGGTGAGGCGCTGAGAGAGGTTTGGGAAAGGGAGGGGAAGGGAATCATGCATTCTAGGGCTCAGGGCTCAAGCCTCCCAAACAGGCACTCAGGGCAGAGTCACATGAATTCATGGGTGTCTACAGCAGTGGGCACAGCGCGGGGAGCACCTAGGATGACTCCCTAGACAAACGTAACCTCACGGCCTCTAGTTCACCCGCCGCTCCCACCCAGCCCGGGACAGCAAGATGCCCTTGTCAGGCAGCAAAAGGTAGCTGCTCTGGCTGGGTTAGACACTTGTCCCAGTGCGTTGCCACTCCCCAGCGAGAAGGGGCCCTTATTTATTCTCCTTGGCACGCCTAAAGCCTGATGCGGGGCTTACCACACAGCAAATTCCTGAAGTATCAATATTTATTGAATGAATATTTTATGAATAAATAAAAGAATAAGCAAGTTAGAAGCATTCAGAAATGAGAATTTAAGCAAAAACTTAATAACAAAAAAGCCTGAAGCACAAGACTAAATTGTGATTATTTGCAGCTGGGACTGTTAATGTCATCAGCCTCGCATTGCCAAGAATGAGTCAAGCTTACTATACAGGACAAGCTTAGCAATTTATAATTTCTTTAAAGTGTTTTATACTAGTGTCATAAGAAGACCAGATTTATGTTCTCTGGGATCTTGGACTACATCAAGGCATTTAGACAAGAAAGAGTAGTCCGAGGGCCGACAGTTCTCTATGCAGCAGCACTGGACCCAGCACTGCCAAAGGCATAGACCCCAGGGGATGCATCAGTGCTCCCTGAAGGCACCTGTCCTCATCCTTAGGAACTTGAGGTGCCGCAGCATCCAGCCACAGCCCTCACGGCTCATACACACAGAAGCATACACCGGCCCCACGCGCATATCCACCCCCAAGTGACAAATTCTGTCCAAGGGATCTTGGGAAGGAGGGTTCTATGGCACCTCTCAAAGGCAGGCCATAAATGCCCCCCAAGCCATTGAATCTCTAGCTTCCAGCAGCCCAAGCAGGACCTGCTACAAGGTTGCAGGGCCTGGCTTGACATTCATGCATGTCATTAACAATAATCACATTAAATATGAATACCCTGGAAGCCACCTCACAGTGAGTGCATTAGCATGGAAATGAATAAAGTGGCATATTTACACAATGAAATATTAATAGCAGTTCAAATGGAAGAACCAGATTTATATTTAGCTCCAAAGAATAATGCTGATTTTTAAAGTTTTAAAAGGACATATATGATATGGAACCACTTATGTCATTAAAAAAAAAAAAAAAACTCTCGGCCAAGCCCAGTGGCTCTTGCCTATAATCCCAGCACTTTGGGAGGCCGAGGCAGGCAGATCATAAGGTCAGGAGTTCAAGACCAGCCTGACCAACATGGTGAAACCCCATCTCTACTAAAAATACAAAAATTAGCTGGGTGTGGTGGTGGGTGCCTGTAATCCTAGCTACTCAGGAGGCTGAGGCAGGAGAATCAACTGAACCCAGGAAGTGGAGGTTGCAATGAGCCGAGATTGTGCCACTGCACTCCTGCCTGGGTGACAGAGCGAGATTCCGTATCAAAAAACAAAACAAAACAAAACAAAAAAACTCTCAAAATAATGTTTGGTTGGAGATATATGTATGTACAATAAAGTAGTAAAACATGGATGTGCAATGATACCATCACCTCTAAGAAGGAAATTACCCTGAAGAGGAAGGAAAGAGAAAAGAAGATGGGATGAGGTGGGCAGAAGAGAAGACTTTAGCTAAATACTTTTATTTTTCCCAATACTTTCTTCTAAAAAATTTCAAATACAAGGTGAAAAAAATTTACACTGAATACCCCATATGCCCATTAAGAGACGCTACTGTTAACATTATACTCTATTTGTGTTAGCACCTAATGTATTCATCTGCCAATCTATTAATCTGTCAGATATTTTATACAACTCAAAGACTATTGTAGATATCATGCCCGGACCTCAAACCCTCCAGTGTGCATATCATTAACAGAGCTCAGCACTGGTTTAGTTTTTCCTTCTGCTATAAAGCTGATACATCACGAAATGTACAAATCTCAAGTGATTATTTGCTGAGTTTTAACAAATAAATACACGTGTGTAACCCAAAACCCGATTGATATATACAACATGACCGTCACCAGAAAATTACCCTTATGCCCTTTCCTGATCAAACCGCGTTCCAGTCTCTCCAGAGGGAACCAATGTTCTGAGTTTTTCCATCATAAACTGGTTCTGCTTATTCTACAGGTTGGTGTAAAAGTAATGGCTGTTTTCACCATTAAAAATAATGGCAAAAGCCGCAATTACTTTTGCAGCAACCTACAGCATTTCATATCAACGGGATCACATGGCATATGCACTTTGGGTAAAGCTCCTTTCACCCAGCATCCTGTTCCTGAGAGCTGCCTGTGCTGTTCTGTGTATGAGTAATTCATTCATTTTTGTTGCAGAGTACCGTTCCGTTTGTAAGAAAACACCACCATTTGTTTGTCCGTTCTCCTGTAACGGACACCTGGCCTCTGTTTTCTGGCTAGGAATACTGTTGTATAGGTCTTCTTGTGACCACATGTTTTATATTATCCTTAAATAAATAACTAGGGTTGAAATAGCTGGGCAAAGGGTAAGTGTACGTTTAAGTTTTTAGGATAGCCCCAGACCTTTTTCCAAAGCAGCTGCACTATTTTATATCCCCACCCACAAGGCATGAGAGTTCCAGTTGCTTCACACCCTCACCAACATTTGGTGCTGTCTTTAACCATCCTGATGAGTGTGTCATGCTGTCTCATCGTGGTTTGGACTTATATTCCACCACTGATTGATCATGTTAACGTTGTCATTTAAAAAAACATTTCATTTCCTTAAAACAAATGAAAGAGGCAGAGAGAGAGAGAGAGAGAGAGAGAGAGAGAGAAAGAAAGATCTGGGGCAAAAAAAAAAAAGCAAAATCTAGGATGTGGGTGTGCCAGGTTCAAAGTTATTTTCTGTATGTTTGAAGTCTTTAGCAATTAAAAATAAAAATATTATTCCATCTACAATTCCATCTGTAAGCGGATGTCCCTAGAACCCAGGCTGGGCTCGGAGGCACAGCTTCTTAGTATGGAGGGAGGCTGAGTGGCGAGCGGGTCAGGGGCCCATGGAGGGGCTCCACCATGGAATGACCACATCACCCTGGAGTCACTGAGCTCCACCAGCCTCCGGACATGCCCTGGTGGCCCTGGCTTCGCTCCTGACCAGCTCTCACTTCTGCATCAGCCTTCACTCACCTCTGCTGGGCCAGGGGTCTCCTGAGGCTGACCCTGGACAGCGTTTGGTAGTGCCACCTCTCTTTGCCCTCCAGAGACTGGATTTGAGTGACTGTGCTCCCCTCCTGAAGGTCTGAGCCTGGCCTGTCTTTCTGTAGCATTAATTCCTCAAAGGAATTCCTACTGATGCTGACATGCAGTTCCCAAACTGATGCCAAATATTTCCAGATGCCACCTTTTTTTTTTTTTTTTTTTTTTTTTTTTTTTTTTTTTTTGAGACGGAGTCTCACTCTGTCGCCCAGGCTGGAGTGCAGTGGTATGATCAATCTCAGCTGACTGTAACCTCCGCCTCCCAGGTTCAAGTGATTCTCCTGCCTCAGCCTCCTGAGTAGCTGAGATTACAGGCATGTGCCACCACACCTGGGTAGTTTTTGTATTTTTAGGAGAGATGGGGTTTCACCATGTTGGCCAGGCTGGTCTCAAACTCCTGATCTCAGGTGGTCCGCCTGCCTCGGCCTCCCAAAGTGCTAGGATTACAGGCGTGAGCCACCGCACCCTGCCCAGATACCACTTTCTTAAGAATTTAACAGCGAAGATGCCCAGATGCTGCCGGGTCCTCAAATGCGGGCTCCGAAAGCACATGTTGTTACTTCCTCAGACGCCACCCGGCTTTACCTACTTTGCACTTAGCTCTAATTTAAAACCACTCCAGATTCTCCCACCAAACTTGAATAACCACTACGATATCTCTGAAAGGGAGACAAACTGCCCGTCCTCTCAGGACCCGGAGTGGATTAGCTCCACACCCTCCCAAGCAGGGTGGTGAAGGCAGAGGGCAGCCTGCGGCAGTGCAAGGGGCCATGGGGCACTTACCGCTGGCACTCGCCGGCATGCAGGATGAGCGCCTCGCTACTCCTGGTGCTGATGGTCAGCTCATGCTCGGTGGAGTTGAAGACATCCAGGAGCAGGTGACACTGCCGGGTACTGCGTTAAAGACAAAAGAAAGTTCAGAATCTTCTGACAGCCAAAGAGGAGTGACTTTTCCTTTTTCTCCTCTCCAAAGATTTCCCGCAACTTAAGAGGGGCAAAGTATATCGAAATGCCAAGTGCTCCTGGGCTCAGAGGATTACGGAGACTGGTTCTGAACACAAGTGTGAACTCTAAGGAGTGGGTGTCGCCATCAGGTTCTCCTTGGGCCCGGGGTCCTAGGGACATGTGCTCACAGCCCAGTCATGCTTTTTACCAACCAAGTGGCCTTGGGAAGGTGACCTGAATTCTCCACACCTCGACATACGCTGACGACTGGAACACCTGACCCTAAAGTCTGATCATCACTGACTAAAGTCTGGTCACCTGCGGAGAAACGCAGGCATACAGTGCCATTCAAGGGTGCTGTGTCCAAGTCAGCATCCTCAGTTACCAGGTTCCATGCTGGGCCCCAAAGTGTGGCGACGCGTGTCCTGCTTGTGTGTGTGTGCACACCCAGTGTGAGCTTCTCCCATGCGGGCACCTCTAGAACTGGGGCAGACACTGGGGGGTTATTCACCACCCTCTGAAGCTTCTACTCCTTTGTTTCCTCTCCTCTAGAGGTGACAAGTAAAATGCTCAAGTTCCCATTGTTCCTTGCAGGGACTGGTCCACGTGGTGAAGTTCTAGCCAGTAAGGCACAGGCCCCTAGAGACTTTCCTTCCTAGCCAGTAAGGCACAGGCCCCTAGAGACTTTCCTTCCCAAATACAAACACGATGTCCTGGGAGAAGGCTTTTACCCTTCCACCTTCCTCATTCCCCTTCCTTCCTCCCTAGAAGCAAGCAGGATGCCCAGAAGCTCAGTAACCATCAGGGACACTAAGGACAAAAACCACAGGCTGTGGATGGCAGAGCAGGGTCGGGGGTGCTTGAGAGCCACATCCTTGAGTGGTCGTGGCACCCCTGCACTGCCAGCCTCCCTCTAGCCGTGTGAACTCCACGTGCAAAGTGGAAAAATCCAGCCCCACACGCGCCGTCTGTGTCCATCATCATCTGATAGGTTAACGTTACAGTTGAATACTTGCTGAAAACTCATACGGTATCTCAGACACCAAGTATCACAGTCAGCACATAACAGGTCATCAATAAACGTCTGCTGAGCTCAGTGGATGGCTGCACCCACGACAGGACAGACAGAGATGACAGCAACTGAACAGATGCCATTCTTCTTGGAAGAGCAGGGCAAACAGTTTTAATGGGGGGCGAAAATTAAGAGAAAAAGATCTGTGCTCTGGGTCATTATTAGCCTAGTGTGACTTCAAAACATGGCCTTTCAAAGGGCATTTGAATTCTCAAATGTATTTCTCCAAGTAGGAGGCAAGGCTTCGCTGGCTGTTAAAGGCAAGTCTGGTCAAAGGAAAGGGACAATCGCCTGTGGCTTCATCACAACAGCCTTGGGGGTAGTCCATGGAGCCCCAGCTGCGCTGGAGACGGAGGCTCAGGAGAGGACAGGCATGCTACTGTGATGCCTCAGGCCCTGGATGCAGAGCTCGAAACCCTTGGCTTTTCCCGATAGACATGGACCTGTATTCATTCCAAAGCCACACATGTCCTCGGCAATTCCCAGAGAGGGGAAGTGAGGCACACGGGGTGCAGTGACAGGCCCAGAAATTCACGCACGCACATACACACTCTCACACACATGTGCACGCACGCACACACAAGTATGACTTTGTCAAAAGCACACAGGGCATCTGTGAAATATCAATTTTTCAGAACATGGGCGTGTGACCTGCTCTCAGGGGGAAAGCGGCAGCATGTCACCATTTCTTTTTCTCTCTCTCTTTTTTTTTTTTTTTTTTGACAGAGTCTCACTCTTGTCGCCCAGGCTGCAGTGCAGTGGCATGATCTCAGCTCACTGCAACCTTCACCTCCTGGGCTCAAGTAATTCTCCTGCCTCAGCCTCCTGAGTAACTGGGATTACAGGTGCCCACCACCATGCCCAGGTAATTTTTGTATTTTTAGTAGAGACGGGGTTTCACCATGTTGGCCAGGCTGGTCTCAAACTCCTGACCTCAGGTGATCTGCCCGCCTTGGCCTCCCAAAGTGTTGGGATTACAGGTGTGAGCCACGGCACCGGGCCGTATGTCACCATTTATATCATGTAGCACAGTGTCAACAGGGTGCCGCACACCTTGAGATGACAGTTCCCATCAGTTGAGTCTGGGTTTTCTGGGTGGGGCTGTCTTCCCCAGAGGTTGGGCGCTTGGAAAACATTCATTAGCTCTGACAGCTGCCTACAAGAGGCCTCTTCACTCAGCTCACAGAAAAATGAGCTTCTGAGAATGAAGATCTATTCCTCTGTTGTCATAACTTCATGAAATCTTTAATCACAGCAAAATCTTTCATCAGAAAAAGGAACTCGTAAAACATTTATCAGAGGAGGAAAATTGAAGTGATTTTTTAAAAGCCTGGAATAAAAGGTTCAAATATATTTTGTTTTCACTCACAGAATAGAGTGCTTAGGAAACGGCACAGGAATGAGCAGCATCGATACACAATGCGTTTCTGTCCTCTTGCTCTTCTTTTTTCTGACTCACTGTCTGAGTGTGGGGGCGTCTGGATCTAGTGTTTCTATTCCTTCTAATTGTTGACATGATGATGTATTGGTGGAGCTTGGCTTCCTATCTGTTATTCATAAGTTTCCTTTCCCAGACTGCAGCAGCGGTTTGTGCCATCATAATGTCATTTATTCTATGTACCTTTCCATATGGCTTTGGATGTTTGGTTTTAAGGCTGATGCTCTGAGCATATGGTTTACCTTAATTCTTGTTTGCTTTTTGGGTTTGTTTGTTTACTTTCTGGACACCTCTATCTGAAGTATGGGAAAATCCAAGAAAGCTTCCCGGAAGAGCTGAGACCAGGGCGAGTCTCTGAAGGGGACAGACACGTTTGCCTGGCTTAGAAGAGACAGGGGAACAAAGCCCCGGCAGCATGGAGGGGCCCAGTTATTTTGGGAATCTGGAGTCAGGTTGAGTGTGGGAGACCAGGCTGCCAGCTGAAAAAAAGAAGTCCTTTTTCAGCAGAGAGAGCAGTTATGCATTAATAAAACCAGTTTGATAACAGTGAGTGGACACTATATCCCAAATCGGATATTTTATTAATTATTTCATTCAACAAATACCTCCTGAGGAACTGAATGAGAAAGACAAGATCCCTACCTTCGTGGCTATTATACTCTTGTGAGGGAAAAGGGCGGGACTGACAGGGTTGTTTTAAAAAATAAAATTTGCTGTCATTTTTTATAAAATTAAAAAAAAAAGTTGAGAAAGATTGTTGAATAAAAGATTAAGACACACAATCAATACCAGTCGTACACATCAACTAAAAACAATTACAATACAAACTTTTTGAGAAAATACATTTATAATAGCAACACAGTCCACAACGCAGGTAGAAATAAATCTAACAAAATATACACATGATATTTATGTAAAAAAATTATAAATTCGGCCGGGCGCGGTGGCTCAAGCCTGTAATCCCAGCACTTTGGGAGGCCGAGATGGGTGGATCACGAGGTCAGGAGATTGAGACCATCCTGGCTAACACGGTGAAACCCCGTCTCTACTAAAAAATACAAAAAACTAGCCGGGTGTGGTGGCGGGCGCCTGTAGTCCCAGCTACTCGGGAGGCTGAGGCAGGAGAATGGCGTGAACCTGGTAGGCGGAGCTAGCAGTGAGCTGAGATCTGGCCACTGCACTCCAGCCTGGGCGACAGAGCGAGACTCCGTCTCAAAAAATAAATAAATAAATAAATAAATAAATAAATTCATGGAACAACATTAACGAAGAAAAATAAGTGTAGAGATGTACAGGCTGAGTATCCCTTATCTGAAATGTGTGGATCAGATGTGTTTCAAATTTTGGGTTTTTTAAGATTTTTGAATACTTGAATTATACTCATGAAGTGAGCATCCCAAATCCACAAATCTGAGATGCAAAACACTCCAATGAACATTTCCTTCGAGCATCATGTCAGTGCTCAAAAAGTTTTGAATTTTGGAGCATTTCAAGTTTTGGGATGCTCAACCCACGTTATGTTCAAAGATGGAAAGACTTAATATTTTTAAAGAAGTTATCTCTTTCCAAATTTCTATAAACTCAGTGCAACTCAATAAGAAAAATCCCAGCAGGGTTTTGTTAAAACAATGATGTGGGAGGTTTCTGGAAGGAATCTGGCCTACTAGATGTCAGGAATTGTTATAAAGCTATAATCATGAAGACAGTGGAGTAGATGCAGACATGCAATGGTCGAGTTATATGATGGAAACCTATGCAGAGGTGACAATGAATTTAAAAGAACTATATGCCCCACCACAAAGTTCAAGTTAAAACTCCTGGGTAAATAAGTTGCAGAGGATATCATACAATATATGTACATGAAATTTTTAAAATATGTTTTAAAATACTCGATATTGTCTATAAACATCAAATTTAAGAGTGGTCATTCATGCTAAGAGAGCGAGAGACACAGTGTGGAAGAATATACAGAGCTTTAACAGCATATTTTTATTTCTTTAAATTAAAAACATAAAAGCAAATATAGTGAAATGTTAAAAATGGATGAGTCTGTATGGTAGATAAATTGATACCTCCTAGACCTTTATTTATGTTTCTTTTACTTGAAATGTCTTATAAAAAGTTACTTTTAAAGTCACTTAGAATACTGTGTTAGCCTGGGATCCCCCCAGAAAGCAGAGCCTGAGAAAAAGGGTTTGCACCCACTGTTCAAAGAGGAAGCCCCAATAGAAATAAAATACTTTGGAGTGAACAAAAATAAAATATGATATATCAAAATTCTGTGACTAGAGCTAAAGCAGTACTTAGAGAAAAATCTGTATCATTAAGTGATTATATAAGAAAGAATGGCTTCAAATCAGTAAGCCTATCTTCTATCTTAAGAAACCGGAACAGCATGGTACTGGTACCAACACAGAGATATAGACCAATGGAACAGAA